CCCCAAAACCCCAAAACCCCAAAACCCCAAAACCCCAAAACCCCGAACAACCGCTCATAAAAATTAAATAAAATCTTGCTAAAATGAACACTCGTGTGCGCACAAAAGTAAGGGGTCATAAGCTGTTAGGAGTGGGGCTAAGCAGGCAAGAGACGGGAGTAGGGCCTGAAGAAGGGATTTTGAGGGGATTTTTTGGATGGAAGAAGCCTGAGTGGGGGTTTTGGAAGGGAAATTGGGACTGGGGGTACTGGAGGGGTGGGGAAGGGGGATTGGGGTGGCTTTGAGGGGGGTTTTGGAGGGGATAGGGGGTTTTGAGGGCTATATCTCTATGAAAGCTCTCTCTAAATTTAGTTCTGCTGGCATGGTTTTAGGAGATATGATTATTTGGCTATAGTTAGTGTATAAAATATTTTAAGTTTATTACTCCAATTAACAATAATCTAACTGACTGTGGCTCAAAAATGCTAGTAATCCAGATTTGTACATAAAACGTGCCTAACTATTATTTAATAACTAAATTATACAGTAAAAATTAAAATTTTAGAAACTTCTCTAAAAATGCTGTTTGGAATAGGATTCTACAACTCTTGCACTGTTGCAGGTCGAGGTCTGATTCGACTCAATTCTATCTGTGACTTCCTAAATTATGTAACACTTTAGAAAATTTTGTGCTGTCTATGAGTACGATTACACAATTAAGATATGCTTGATTCTATAAAAGCCTCCTGGATCTTATTTCCTAATAACTTCTAAAACTATACCAGAAATTCATAAAAATTTATTTTAAAAACTTTGAAAATTACGAAAGACATATTCCAATACCTGATCTCACCGAAATGTGATTTAACTTTATGTAGATTAGGATTATTAAGTTCGAGGAAGGAGAGCGCAAGCTATTTCAGAAGTACCTTACTGTGCTGAGTAGAGCAACCAATCGCAAAGCATCAAAGCTGCAGAGCCGGTAAGAACCCCATGCTTTAGCATAATAATTATTTTTAGTGACACTAATAGATTTATAAGTCCAAGAGTTACAGCCAATAAACCTCGGTTATTTAGCGACTCAAGAGAGTCGGATGATGACTCGAATAGTAGAGATAGTGTACTCTCTGCAGTCAGAGTCCGCAAGGACATTGCTAAAGCAAACAGTTTTATCCTCAAAAAAGCTCCAATGTGTGTTAAGCACAAGAAAGAAGATCTTGTGAGTTTACCAGATGCTAATGAAAGAGTAAGCTATTGTGCAAAGTTCTGAAATAAACTCTGAGTAAAAGCTAGAAGAAATCACTACATTTTCACCTTTTCTTATATAGAGTAGGCGAAGTCCTTTTAATTAGAGAGTGTCGATTATTCTTTTACTCAGAATGCTGATAAATATCTCATATCATACATATTTTCCTCCTACCTACACAAATGTTGTGCGTGAAAAATTATTAAAATATAATAATCCACCTCTTTTCTCCAAATTTTAGTTTCAAATTTTTCAAAATCTACCAATCGGGACTTCTTCAGTCGCCAGATTTTGCACTACGAATTTCAAAAGGCTACAGTTAATTTTTTAAAGTCCATGCAGGACTCTCTAAAGTTCTCCAAAAGCTAAATCCTGAGATGCCCTTTTGAGGTTTTTATCAGCCAAAATTATAAATAGAAAGCTGGTTTAGGGTACATAGCAATGGAGCTTTTTAATTATGAACTCAATAAAAATCGAGATAATCTAACCTTATGTAGAACCGAGGGCTTAGACCACTGTCACCTATCAGAGCTCTGAGCAATCATTTGAGTCCAAGAAACCAAGAAGCCTGAGATCGCCTGAATATCGAGAGAAATGGTCAAGAAATCAGAAGAGTAAACCGTAATGTAATGCATTGAGGGATCCAAGGAAGGAAGGTCTCAGAAGGAATCCAAAGACAAAAGAGCCCATTCATGAGACAAATTGATGAAATTACCCTAAAAGTATCAGACGCGAAGAATAATCGGAGGGGATGAAACTCTCCATTTGCTCTAAATGCAACACTTGGAAGGATTCTGAGTATGAAAAAGAAGTAAATCTACCCCCTTATCCTACAGATCAAAAATATCTACCTTCTCCGAATGACTTGCTAGTTCAAGAGTAGGAAGCCCTAGACGATTTCAATTGGTTAGGCAGAAGTTCATAAATGGGAAATTTTTAAGTAACAAGATGGATTCCTCCCAACTTGAGTCCCTTCTCTAATGTGCCACATTAAAGTGCAAATTAACATTATTCATAAAAACCTGTAGACGTGTTTTTGACAATTATCTAGGTCTGGATTTTACCATTCTACATAATTTAAAGAAGTCTCTTGGAAGAAATCTCTGAATATTTACCTAAGGAATCGGGTTTCCTCCAACCCTGGAAATATTATTCTTCCGTAAATATGAAAATCTGATTTCCCGTTTTAAGATTTATAATTATGCTGATGACTTAGGTAAAATCAGTTAAAACTTTTACGTTGATATGAAGAAGGTTTGCCTCATGCTGAGATATGAGCTGCCCATTATACTAACTGTAGCTAGCCTTAAATATGAGCCATTTATATTTGCAGTTCAATTTTTGAGAGCTGACAAAACGCTTGCAAACTTATCACAGTCAGGAGAACCTCTATTGAAGTATTCATATTTTCAATAGCTGGGCACTTTTGAGGGGTTTTGGGGTTTTGGGGTTTTGGGGTTTTGGGG